ACTAAACGGACTCCTCTCTAGGACGTGCAACTTCGTCTTGCATCGCTCCCGCCTCCTCGGGGTGCCCCTACCACCCGATTGAACCTAGCCCAGTCCCCCAAAGCCCCGGAATTGGTACTCCGACAGCTGGTGTCGGTTCGAGACCTCGTGGCTCAGAGCCTGGATATTGTGGATGTGAGCACGTGGACAGGCGATCCTCTCAACGCAGGCTTCATTTTCAGTCAGCTACACCTCTTACTAGAGACGATCAGCGAGGCGCGACAAATGTTGAAAGGAGAAGGCCACGAAACGCGAGGCAAGTGGTGGGATACCAGCGCCACCGAAAATGTACGTTCGATTTCTTTGACGAACGTCCTGTAATATTTCGCTGATATGTATACTGCACAGATGTTTGACCCTCCGCTTCCACCGCATCTTTCATTCCACCTCTCCATCGCAGACTCCGCCCTAGTTCTTGTTCTTCGGACTCTAGAGTCTACTGCCCTAAATCACGCGCCAACCGCTTTTTCCTCAGATATCTCCCTGACCGGGTTCTCTCTACGAGATCGGATATTCGGCTCGCGAGCGCCGACCCATGATGAGGCCGGTAGCCTTTTTCAATGGCAGGGGGAAGAAGTTCGTGTCAAGGAGAAAGTCCGCGTGGAGAGCCAGGATCCCAGTCTGATGGCGGTCATGGCGAAACTCTCGGCCCTTGAGCATGAGGTGATGCGTTGCGTTGCTGCGCTGCGGGTGCTCATGGGCGATGAAGATACAGAGAGTGAGGCTTAGTGGGTTGATTGATACCCTACTGCATTTGAACTATGAGCATCCGCTTGCTGCAATGCTTAATGTAATCGGTACTCGAGGTAGGGTCTTCTGAAATATTAAATCGGCTGTCATTTGAGATGTGTATTGAGCGGCCATCTTAAGACAACCTAGGTCTAGGACTTTGTCAGCCGGTTGCAACATATATTATATAAAAGAGGCAATCAGCATATAATATATAATATATGCATACATATTCCTGCCAACAAAAACGCTTCCTTGGATGTTATAGATTTTTGATACCGAGCTAAAACCGATCCCCCTTGAAAGGGAACGGCGGAACAGCCAATGAGAGGCCCGCAGTTTATGATGGGCGCGCATGGCGGTCTTGGCATCAATTTTCTGGGCTGGGCCATTTTTCTTTCTCTCTCAACCTCTCGGAAAAGGGACTGTTGATAAGATCTGGAAAATGTTGTCCAGGTCTTCAGCATCAGGCGCCAGTCGGTCGCAATCGCGCGAACTATTTCGCACCTTTGCCTGCCCTTCTGGATCGCGACAGCTCCGCGGACCTCGTTTGACACATACGCAGCAACGCACTATTGTCCAAAAAGCATCGCCTTTGGTCGCGTCTAATAGCTTTATGCACCGAAAAAATAGTTCCGACTATGCGGCATCGCAATGTCAACCTCAGCGGAGGTTTGTGTCAGGCCCAGCATCCGCCGATTCGCCGCCTCAACCTAGCGAATCCACCGAACCGGATGATATCAATACCCTGATCGATCGAATCGGCGCAAATGAGGCGGAAATGGTAAAAATACTCGAAGAGCTGGAAATTATGGGCGAAGAGGGCGAAGGAGACCAGCTCAGCGACTTGATCGGCCAGCGAGATGAACACACCTCAGAGTCATGGGTACACATGATCAAACAACGCTTTGGAGATGAGTTGCCAGAGGGGCTGTTGGACGATGCCGAGCTTCAAATATACGCTCGCCTCTATGGAGAGCCAATCATTCGGCAGGAAGTCGAGTCAATGGTCGAGGAGGAAGAGGAAGATCCGAGCTTGCTCCGTGGAGACGGACAAGGAGGATGGGAGGAAGTCGATCTAGATGAAAACCCTGCCGCTGAGGACGATTTTCCACTCGTCTATGATATGGATGTTTCCCCGGAAGAGCGGGAAACAATTGCCATGCAACGGACCAGAGAAGTGGCAGAGCAGTTGGGCGGCGAGGTCATGCTCGAGGAATTCGAGAACGAGGCAGTTCCTGACTCTGCTCCAAGAGTTCACCCGCTCACCTTCGAGGGCAAATTCGGAACTGATCCTTCAACTATCCATCTGCCCAAGGATACAGTCACTGGTCCCATATCGGTCATTCTGTCAGAATTCTCCAACAAGCATATTTCCGAGACTGCTCGACGCCTATTCGGAGGACCAGGATTGCCCCATTCGAGTACGACGGCCCCTCCACGTGCCCAATTACCACAGCTTCCTGTCGCTCTCCAGGCTTCGCAGCGTCAAATGGGAGAAATGGAGGCCAACGCATACTTGGCAGCCCTGTACCCTGGAATCTACGCATCGACACTTAGTGTTATGGTTGAGATTCGCAAGCGATTAGGCGTCGATTGGATCCGCCGTCTCATCGCACAAGAGGGTGGGCCAAATGTCCTTGATGCGAACGGTGGTGGTGCCGGCATCCTAGCCTGGAGAGATATCATCCGCGCAGAATGGGAGCTCATGGTGCCCGATCATCCTGCGGGGGCACCCATCCCCTTTGGGAGATCAACTGTGCTGACAGGCTCCGATTCCCTTCGACTGCGCGCTGCTGCCCTGCTGGAAAACACTACCTTCCTCCCACGGCTGCCTGATTACGTCCATGTGCGCGAGAAACCTACAATTGATGACTCGCGAGATGCACCTAAACGCAAACAGTACGATATCATCATCGCACCGCACTCTCTTCTCGGTCTTGAAGAAGAATATGAGCGTAAACAGCACGTGGAGAACCTGTGGTCTCTTTTGAACCCCAACGGGGGTATTCTCATTCTGCTTGAGAAGGGCCGCCAGAAGGGCTTCGAGGCTATTTCTGGTGCTCGTGAAATGCTCTTGAAGCGCCATATCGCAAGCCCCGGCTCTACCGAATTTGACAACTTCCTCGAAGACCCCGACCAACGCGAGGTCATTGAGAAGGAGCGTGGAATGATCGTGGCCCCCTGCACCAACCACTCGACCTGCCCGATGCACAACTCTTCGGGTGCTACCAAGGGCCGTAGGGACTACTGCCATTTCGAGCAGCGATACATTCGCCCTCCATTCCTGCAGCGCATCATGGGAGCGAAAGACCGCAACCACGAAGATCTCAAATTCAGCTACCTCGCCGTGCAGCGTGGCGTGGATCTACGTCAAGACCAGGCAATTCGCCAAGGCCCTGAGGCTACAGATGCCGCGTTCGAAGGATTCGAGGACCCCGAGGAATCTGATATTCCAAACAAGCCAGCCTTCCACGCTCTATCGCTCCCCCGTGCCGTCTACCCACCCATGAAACGCCGCGGCCATGTCATCTTTGATCTCTGCACGCCCGCCGGCAAAATCGAGCGTTGGACCGTCCCACGTTCTTACAGTCGCCAGGCCTACCGCGACGCCCGCAAGTCTCGTTGGGGAGATCTGTGGGCTCTGGGAGCCAAGACCCGCATCCCGCGCAACCTGAACCTTGGCGATAAGCATGGCGAGGGTAAAAAGGAGCGCCTGGCTCATCGTGCGGCGACCAAGGAGTCTATGCGTGACGCCGAGGAAGAGGGTGACTTTGAGAATGAAGGAGAAGAAGAGGATGAAGAATATGGAGTTCATGACTCGGATATTCCTGATGTCCCAGTCAAGAAGAGGGGCCAGCATATCCCCAGTTGGAAGAAGCATAATGATAAAAAGAAGCTTCGTCAGGCTTACAACAAGCGCTCTGCCGACGAATAAGTGCTTTGATTTGGCGCAAATTTTCGATGGATTTGCAGGTTCGAAAAAATGTACTATACTACTAACTACTGGCAGCATTTGGCATTGGGACTGGGGACTGGATCTTGTTTGTACACTAGGATATTATTCTCGCACTTCTTCAGATGTAAATACAGCGTCTTCACTCTAAATTGATATGTATATGATTGATCCATACAGTATCTGAGACGTCATTTCGCGCCAGTCAATCTTCCTTTTCTCCAATGGGATTGTCCATGAAGGCCGTTGGGTATCCCACTAAGTCGGTTGTGATGAAGCATGGTCTTGTCACGAATTGGCGGGACTGTGCCAGGCCCAAGAAGCGCCGGTAGTGCTCGGAAGCCTTTCCTGAGTGGAGCCCTGCAATTGACACTGGGCTTTGAAAAATCCACTGGGCGTAAGATGTATTGATGTTCTGGGAAAGACAAGTCGCTAGCTTCAGGCTTGGTGTCTTTCTAGCCAGAGTTGGCGAACCACGCACAATAAAGGACGTGGATAGAAATTAGACAAAGGGTAGTTGGGCTCGAATGCTCCTGGTAAGCTAGTTGCGTTTCGTAATAGCAGATATTCTTATCTCGCAAAGTGACACCGCCATATTCACTGCGCAGCCATACTCTTTCGCAACTGCCTTTGCTTCTGCGTGCTCTGCAACTCCAATCGATCGACTGCAAACTTGAGCCGTTCTTTCTTCTGCACGAGTCTCCTCAGCTCCGCTGCCTTGGATGCCGCTGCACTACCCGACGAGGCAGCGCCAGACCCGGCAATGCGACCCCGCAGTGAGCTGCTTGGAGGTTGGCTACGAGTAGCTGATGACCGGTTCTCCGGGGTAGACGAGAGTCGACCTTCTTGCAGGTCGCATTTCGCCTTGAGGCCTTGTTCACGGCGCGCGAGCTTTTCGACGTGGTTCGATGATAGTGTGAGGAGATGGGCGATGCTGGGGGTGATTTCGTCAAGGAGGGATTGCTGCGCTTCGTGCAATGTAGGCTCAGGGAGGAGCTCAAAGTGCTACTCAAGGGTAAATGATTAGACGCTTCTCGTTTCTTTTCAGAAATGAAATCGGAAGAACATACTCGCGTTGTCTGGAGGACTTTACATAGACGAGGAAAATCGTTCACGCCCGCATCGAGGGTGGATATGGAGCTATCCAGAATCTGGAGAGAGGACTGTAGTGAAGTAACTGAGGAAGACAATGAAGCTGCCATGATCTGTAACTTGAAGCTTGATTTGGAGATGATTTGTTTATAATACTCGGGATAGATCGGGCGGTAAAAGCGGCATGACACCGCCTTTAAGGCGGCGTGGGCTCGGGACCGGGCAAACCTCCCAAACCTCACTTCTCCTCTTCCGTCCTCCTGCCTCACCATCTCCCCGAACGCCGAATTCCCTCCGCATTCGATTCACCTGTCACAATGTCTCTCCTTGGAAAGAAGTTCCCCGGCGCTATGGGTACGTTTTTTTGGACCTCGATTACGACTTGTGGGAAAGCGATGTGAGGACCAACGACTGACGCATATGTTCACTTACAGCCAAGCCTATGGCTCCCTTCTTCGCTGCCGGTACGCATATCCTATAGATCCCGAAATGCCCTGACAATCTGGAACGCATGGATTGTCAATTCCGAATACTGCACCCTCGGATCGGTTGTTGATGGAACATTACTCTGACGATTCTCCTCTCCAGGCCTTATTGTGCTCTACGGCGTCAACTCTCTCCAGAACGCTCTGTCCAACAGTGAGTACATTCCGCGCAACTACCAATAAATCATCGACGAGTTTGGAGTCGCATGCGACAATATCCACAAGACGACACTACGATGAGCAGATGCGAGCATACACAACTAACCTTCATATCCGTACAGCCGCCCAGTTCAAGAGCGACCCCCGCAACCCCAACGCTAAGCCCGCTGGCAAAGCTGACCACTAAATTGGGTCGACAATGAATGCATTTTGAGATCCCATTTGTTCGTTGGAGAAGAGCGGGACGACCCGTCGCGATATGTGGGTAGACGGAGATGGCCTAGGTCATCAATGGCCGGCTTGCACTTTTTATGATTACTCTGCGGGCAGTTTGCCCCTGTCCAAGCATATAGAGCATACCCACCCACCTCGAGGGGGTTGACTTGGATCAATTCACAAGCTGTACCAGTACCCATTCTGAGCAAGATGCTTTTTCCCTCTTGTAGTTTCTGCTGGATGATGTCCCATCAGTCAGAGCAAGGAATGTAACTTAAGCCGAATATTCCGCAACTGGTTGTATTGTGGGTAAAGCCATAGGGTTTGTGGGCTCTTGTAGTTACTTCACATCTGCTCATTGATACGCTATTTCACTTAGGGCTAATTTTCTACTTCTTTGCGACCGTGCATGAGTCAAAATTAACCCTTATTTTGTGTCATTTATTTTGATTGTAACAGCTATCCATCGAAATACTAGCAGTAACGTAGGCCTTTGATGCCGCTCAGCGTGAAATCTTGCATTAAACACGCTAAACCCGATCGGGCATCAGTTTTTGCCAACTCCGCCTGGCCGAAGGACAATCATTTTCCGACCTCAACTTCGCAATATCCCCCAATTAAATACGCCAAAATGACCAAAATGGCAGGGCTTTTCCGGCCCAAGAAGCTGGATCTCTCTGGATTTGTCAATACCCGCTTGATTCGGGATAACAACAAGCGCATGGCCTTCGAGCAGACTGAGCCTGAACGGTACGAACCCCGTCCTTATCCCAGATGCCCTAGCTTGACCAAGGATATCCCGAGCTGGGAAAACTTGCTGGGCATTGAGATACAAATGCTGACTCTATCTTTCTTCGTAGACAAGCTCTCCGCTACATGATCCGCAACACCTCTCTCTCTGGCCGAGTGCGCGCGCAGGCTCAGCTCCAATTGTCGCAGATGCATGCCTACACTCGCCCCACCCAGATCAAGAACCGTTGTGTGGCATCAGGCACTGCCCGCTCTGTCTTCCGGGATTTCAGAATCAACAGAGTAAGTGGAAAAATCCGGCCAATAGCCACATCTTGCCTCGGGTTTTTGATATCATTTCGCTAACATACTATCTTCTATAGTACCAATTCCGTATGCAGGCCCTCGCTGGCGAACTTCCCGGAGTGAGGAAGGCCAGTTGGTAATTGTATCTGTGCTCTGTAATATATGGAGACCTCTGGTTGAATTGTTTGCACAATGGCGTTTCTTTCCTTCCATTGGGTGGAAGCATGTACAGTATGCAGATCTCATTTGCCGATAAATGAAATCTTCCTTTGTTGCTTTTGTTTCTGCGATCAAACTCCGCTGCTCTCGGCTTGTTGGCATTGACTTGCTGAGAAGTCCAGGCACTCCTTTGGGCCTGATCGTCGTTTGCTAATGTCGTGAGATCAGGCTTTCTTTGTTGGTAGTGCCGAGATCATCTCAATTGGGTTGTTTGCTTCAACCATGATCGTCAATTGGAGACCAACCCGGCTGATTTGATAGATGACTGACTGGTAACTGTATGTCAAGAAGATTCCAATCATAGATCCTCAATATCAGCGGGAAGATCTTCGGCGTAGCCTTTTCACTGTCGCATCATCGCCGGTACCTGAGCAAATGAGCAGCTTCTCGATGCCATAAGCAGATCGTTGACTCTTGGCCGTCGCTGACTTGTTGCCCCGTCGTAAAAGCGCGTTGAGAGACTGCGGCGCCTTCTGGTTCTTCTCGTGTGATATCCCCCTCCTCTTCCTTTCGTTTTCTTCTTCTTCTTCCATTTACCCATCACTCATTTCTTCCTCTTGTCTCGTTGACTTTCTTCTCAAATCAACCTCACACACTGATTTGAAGTTCGCCACAATGAATGCCATGCAGGAAGACCTTCTCCCTGATGACGTCGTCTTCCCCGAAGAGCTGCTGGGGCTTGGGTAAGCTTTTCCATAGTCTTCGACGTGACATCTCAGCCTTGGGGTCTAACCGTTCATTGAATGACACAGGTTCGTCATCACCAAAGATGACAAGATCCGGTGCGCCGCTGCCCCGGACCAGGGCCCTCGTTACAAGATCAACCGAAGTGACCGCATCAACAAGGTCCACATTGAGACCCTTCATAGTCAGTTAACCCTCAGATTCGTTTCCATCGTAGGCTATGGTCTTGATGAACCATCCGGCACTAACGACTTCATAGAGGCGATTCGTTCCACCATCATTGACCGGCTCCTGGGAATGGGCATGCACTTCATGAAAATCCCCAAGGGCAGCAACCAGCATGTTCCCATCATGGTGTCAGGCAACATTACCACTGCACCTCGAGTTGTTGTTTTCTTCGGCGAGATTATCGAAGACCTGGGCGTCTTCTCGTACCGTGATGCTTGCGATGACGGCATTCCTTTCGGTTCCATCGTAGGCTTTGCAAAGGGTCTGCTTGGTGAGAATGCTCGTGATTCGCCCAATGCTCTCGTCCTTGCGAACGTCGGCCAGAACGTCTGGTACAATGCAGGCTGGTCCCCGATGACCGCTGAAAGTTATCATGGTCAACACCGCTCCTCTGCCGTGGACCGCGAACGTCCACTGACTGCTCGTAACGTGATCGGCGGCGGCTCCATCGGTGAGCATGTCCAGAACATCTTCGAACAAGTCTTGTTGCGTGGCGGCTTCCGAATCGGTGCCAGAATCGACATCATTGGCCTGTCTGAGGGCGGCCGTGCTGCCATGACATACCTGAGGAACCAATGTGAGTATCTGACTGGATAAGCTAGTTGTCGATTTCTTACTGACACGGCCCCTAGGGAGTTTCTGGGCGCCCCATATCTCCTCCCTCTCCATGATCAACCCTGAGACGATTCTTAACACGGGCATCAACGCTGATGACCTGAAGTATGCGGAGTCATTCGCCTGGTTCATGAAATACCGTTCCCGTGGCTGGATCATCTGCGATAAGCCGATTGGCACACGTGTGCCCAATCTTAACCTCCCTTATGGTTGCAACACATACTCCTCCGGCGAAGGCACGAAGTCGTCGTGCATGGTCACTCGCGGTGTAGGACACATCTTGACCTGGATGAACATGATGCATTACTCCCCGATGGCGATAGAGAAGTTTGAGGTGGCCCCTGGTGAGGCCGATCCCAACATGGAAGCTGACCTTGCATCACTCATCCACAACGGCATTATCCCAATCCCCGGCGGCAAGATTGAAGTGCACAGCCTAGAAACCATGAACCAGATTAAAGGCTGCCTGTCCGGTGTCACGGTAACCGACGAAATGGTTACATTCTTCAAAGAAAATTTGTATCCCATTGAGGATGATGACAACGAAAGCGACAATGGCAGCGAGTGTTCAGTCGTTTGCACAGTTGAGAACGATGATGCGTTTGACGTTCTTCGTGACACTCCCCCCGACGTCCTTCCTGCTGAGACTTCTGAGACTTCTGATACTCCTGACGCTCTTCCTAAAGTCCTCCCCGCCGAGACTCCTGGCACCAATGACATACTTCCTGCCATCCTTCCTGCCGAGCCTGACGCTCCTGGCACTACCGGCGTGCTTCCCACCGCTTCTCCCAACCTTTCTCCCGACGCTTCTCCAAACGGTTCTCCTGGCGCTCTTCGCGTCCCTGACGTTCTTCCTCCTGTCAGTAACGTTTCTGATCCTCTTCCTGACGTTTATGCTGACGCTCTTTCGGTTCCGGAAAGTCCAATTTACTATGATGATGTAATCGTTGGCAGGACTGGGCCATATGATCTCAGTGACCTGCAAGACATCCGGGAGGAAGAGGAAGAAGAGTGAGCCTGCTTCCCCATGAAGCAGAGCTGTGGGCTGTGGTTTGTGTTTCCCGGTGTTTCTACCGGTTGGTTTTTCTTTGATTTTGCTTTTGTTCTTAAGTTTCTCCCGGCAGATGCGTGTTGTTTCCTCCCTTCGATTTAACCAGGGGGAGAAAAAACTAAAAATCACAAAAAAGGAGGAAACGGTGGGCATCTGCCGAGATAGCGAATGAATGAACTAGTACTAATTTCCCTGGTCAATTTCACTGTATACGACGTAGGTACATATGTACATGTAGGATGTATCTTAGGGGTATCACGAAGGCATCAAGATCACAGCCTTGACCGGCATATACGGTATGTCAGATCCAATAACTATATTTGCCTGTATAAATTTCCCCTTCAAAAAAAACATCGGAACGTCGCATTAAGCATCTGCTAGGTGGATTACACTGCTGATCACGGAGCGGTGCAACAAATTCAAACATAAGTCTGGGAGGAATCCCTGAAAATTGGGACAAATGAGACGGGGGCAAGGGGTTTCCCACATCAAACCAGTTCTCTTCAATATTCTTTTACCTATCATCTTCAACGTTCTCTTGAACATTCTCTCGAACATTCTCCTTCGGGATATGGAACAATAACTCGAGGAAAGCCCCTCGGCAAAAACAGGGCCAAGATGGTCACAAGCCAACATTCTCCTTTCCGAGAGTATTTGCCCCGGAAGCAGTTTCGATCGAGTAAAAAGAACGAAGCCCGACGATGGGCGAGAAGACAGTTTCCATCGAGTAATCCGAGAAAGCGGGCCATTGATAAGCGGCTGGAATTGCCCGCAGATTTCGCATCGGAGGTGCCCGACGGGTCTTCGCCTCGAATGATCTGCTATACTCGTCCCAAGATGCTCTCTCGGAAAGGGAGAAAAAAGCAGAGGGGCATTGTCTCCCAATTCTTCCCCAATACGTCAAGGGTGAAGGCCCTTCCGCATTTGCATATCTGCGTCAGCCAGTTGGCCGAGTAATCGCAGCACGTCCGGCCCTGAAATAATGGCTCGGCAGTGGGCCTGTGGATATTCCCATGTTCCTGGATGTTCCCTTTGAAAAAGTGAAATCTCATTTACCCCAAGGTGGGCCCCGACCTTTTTTTTTGGGAGGCAGAGTGGCGTATTTATATCTCCCCCAATCCCCTTATCTTGGGCTTTGCCCCTCTTATCTTCTTCGTCTTATCTGCACAGCTTTCTTATACTCTATCTTTTGGTCATATTCGAGTCTTAAGTCCCGCATATACAAGAGTCATGGCAACTAACCTTCCCTCCATTGCCGTGGTGGCTTCATCCCGTGCCGTTATCTCCGGCCGTTTGACCTCTGCAACTGTGGTGATCTCACGGACAACCGGTAAGATCACCGCCGTCTTTGATTCCGTGATTCCAGCATCGGAATTCCCTGCGGATACTCCCTATACCGACTACTCGCCCCATGTTCTGCTGCCCGGCCTGGTTGATGCTCACGTTCATCTGAACGAGCCTGGCCGCACGGAATGGGAGGGCTTCTATACAGGCACTCAAGCCGCTGCCTTTGGTGGGGTGACCACTGTAATCGATATGCCTCTCAATGCCATCCCGCCCACCACCACCGTGAACGGCTTGAAAGAGAAGATCCAGGCTGCCCAGGGCAAGTGCTGGGTTGATGTCGGTTTCTATGGCGGTATCATCCCCGGCAATGCCGGCGAGCTCAAGGCTCTTGTCCAGGAGGGTGTCCGCGGCTTCAAGGGTTTCCTGATTGACAGTGGCGTAAGTGAATGATATCAGCACCGTGGGTTCCCTAATTAGTATTAACTTTCTTTAATAGGTTGATGAGTTCCCCGCTGTCGGCAGAGAGGATATTAAGAAGGTCATGGCTGAGTTGGCCGATGAGCCGACAACTCTCATGTTCCACGCCGAGATGGTGCCTCCCATTACTGCATCTGTGGGCGACGAGGTTCAGGCGTCTGATGCACCTGCCGACCCTGTCGGCCCCCTTGAGGCGTACGCAACTTTCCTGGCCTCGAGACCGTCATCATTCGAGACCTGTGCCGTCGAAAGTATTCTATCTTTGGCTCACCTTGCTCCCAACCTCCCCCTGCATATCGTTCACCTCTCTGCTATGGAAGCTATCCCCTTGTTGCGGGAAGCCCGTGCCAATGGAGTCAAGATCACAGCCGAGACCTGCTTCCACTATCTGTCCCTGGCAGCCGAGGAAGTACGCGACGGCGACACCCGCCACAAGTGCTGCCCGCCTATCCGCTCAAAGCTGAACCAAGATGGTCTGTGGGAAGAGCTGGAGAAGCACACCGACGACGGCGTCATCAAGACTGTCGTCTCCGACCACTCCCCCTGCACACCAGACCTTAAGATGCTTCCCGCCCATGTCCCCGGCCACCACACCGGCGGCAAGGATGAGGAGAGCGGTAACTTCTTCTCTGCCTGGGGCGGCATTTCTTCCGTCGGACTGGGTCTGCCCATCCTCTGGACAGACCTCAGCCGCCGTAAGGGCCTGACCTCTTCGCCAGAAGACGAGAACACCAAGAACGCCCTCCAGGACGTCGTCCGTCTCTGCTGTGCCAACACTGCTGCCCAGGTTGGCCTGCAGTCGCACAAGGGCGACCTAGTTGTCGGCTTTGACGCTGATATTTGTGTTTTCGATGACTCTGCCGAATGGACGGTCGAGCCGAGCACCATGCTCTTCCGCAACAAGTGCTCCCCCTACCAGGGCCGTACTCTGCGCGGCATGGTCCGGGAGACCTGGTTGCGTGGTGAGCGTATCTTCAGCCGTGACCAGGGCTTCGATAGCCAATCGCCGCATGGCAAGCTGCTTCTTGAGAAACGGGTTTGAGATATTCCCCGCCCTCTTCTTCTTCTTCTTCTTCTTTCCTTTGTCCACGCTTGGGACAAGTTGACATCTCGGCAGGGCGCCTTGCTCTCTTTTCCATATTCTTGCCACTTATATCTCGATCTCGAGTGAGATCGAATCCTCTGATGAGCACTAATGATCGCACAGCATCCATACCCGTTAGATTAATGACAGCGCGTTGTAGCCTTAGGGATAGAATACCAAAAGCAATCAGTTGAATCCAAGTCTTTTAAACAAAGTAGCACAGAAAATTACATCAATGTAGTCATTATTATCCAATACTATACAGACTCCCATCCCTCCCCTTCTCCCACTTCTCCCTAACCCTCCTCCTAACACCCCCATTAACCCCCTTCCCCCAAATTTCCTCTTTCTCCGCCCCAACCTCAACACCTTCATCCACAGCCCTATTCTCCTCCCCAACCGCTCCAATAACAACCTTCCTCTCCCTAAGCCGCCTCTCCTTAACCCTTGCCCGGTCTACCTTCCCAAGATACGTCCAATACAAAAACGACTCCGCAACAGCGACACCCAGCGCCGCAAACAGCCCAAGGAGAACCTTAACCGCCTCGCTCGTCAGGATTTGTGGCGTCGGGAACCTCGTCAGCGCCGCGTACACGCTGAACCCGGTCACCAACACCGAGATGAAGATGCTAGAGACCAGCGAGATCGTCAGCGTATCCTCTTCTACTCGGCCATCGCTCGTGTAGGGCGATATGTGCGGATCCGCGTGATCGGCGTTTGGTTGGTAGTTTGGGTTCAAGAGTCGGTTGTAGGATTCTTGTTCCGTTGCTGCGAGGAGGCGTGCTTTTGATGCAAGATATTCGGCGCTCTGTATTGTGAGTAGTTCGTTAGGATCTGGTTTGGTATAGTTTATATATGTGTATACATATATATATATATTTTGAAGGAAAGGAAGGGGAGGGATGGGATGGGATGGGTTTGTGTATAGACCACGTACCGGCTCTGGCTTCTTTGGTGGCGGAGGAACGTAGACTTTCGTGCCGCGGAGGAGGGAGCTGAGGACTGATGGGGTGTGTGAGACGTGCTCTTTGTATTCCTGGTCTGTTTGGAGGTATCTGGCGAGTCGGATCAGTTGCTCGTGGGCTATTGGGCCTTGCACTTCCAGCGTGGTAGGCAGGTCTAGCTCCTCGTAGCGCGTAGCTGGAATAGCTTCGAACGCGGCGAGGATGCGGTCTGTCGTAACAAGGAGGACCATTATGATACAAAATCAATAAATTAGGGTAACTAAATAAGAATCAAGAATCCATTGAGAGTTCATAGGGGAGATAAAGCGGAACCCCAAAAAAGTGGCAGTTAAGCTCCTCCCAAATCGTCATATCTGCCTCTCTTTCTCGCACACACATCTTTGCGACCATGGCGGACTCAAAGAAGAGGTAAATTCCAAGTCTTATTCTACCGATTCAAATCCCCTTCTAGCCTCCAACTTCCAACCTCAGTCTCCATGCCCGCCTTCACGAAACCCAGAAAACTAACCCCTCCAACCCAGCACGGTAACAACACAAACCAACCCGCGCGGGATCCCCGTCGCTCCCTTCATCGACAATGTCAGCGACTACGTCTCCTCCCGCGAGGAAGTCGAGCCTACCCTCCGCTCCTTCCAGGAGATGATCTCCAAGTACCAGTTCATGGAGGTGAACACCCAGCGCCGGGCCCAGGGCCTGCGCGAGAAGATCCCCGATATCAAAAAGACGCTGGAGATGGTGCGGTTCTTGCAGCTGCGCAAGGAGGTAAATATCCCCCGCATCCTCTGTCAATACGCAGTTCGGAGAAACAAGTGATTTGTGGAGCATCCAGCTTCGAAATCGAAATCGGGAAATATCAATTCACTGACGCTCACTGTACCTGTTCAGTCCAACCCTGACTCAGACCTCGAGACTAACTTCGAACTGAATGATACCCTCTATGCCCGGGCTGCGATCTCACCTGCCGACGCCGAGGAGGTCTACCTCTGGCTTGGAGCGAATGTCATGTTGGCGTACCCGCTCGGCGAGGCGGAGACCATGCTGGATGAGAAGCTCAATGCTGCGGAGTCGAGCTTGAAGAATTGCGAGGAGGATCTGGAATTCTTGCGCGAGCAGATTACGGTTAGTTTATTCTTGCGAGAGGCATATGTGTG